CCCATTCTACCAGTGCTTGCTGTAGTTTCGTCTTGGAATCGGCGATGAGCACAATGTCATCCGCATACAAAAAGCTCTGCACGAGGACAGTTCTCATATTCCAGTTTCCAATTGTAGTCCATGCCGTCCGACGCTTGCAGATTTTATAGATCTCGTCCATAAAGTTTATTATAAAGAAATAAATATCGATAACATAAAATATATAGTTAGCTGCAAAAATGGCGATAATTTTGGTGATATCAATATAGAAAAGAATATATATCAACACGTTGAGAAGTTTAGGTACTTAGGGTCAATGGTAACCAGTGTTGCTGCGCACTCTGTGATGAATCCTCGTACTTGAGTACATCCTCGTATGCTTGCTCATTCATAACTCATACTATTGTAAGCCCAGTGTTATTGTTTTTCTATAGTAAAATTAGATCACATCTTTTTATTTTTACCTCTTCTTATATTTTAAAGCCTTTTTACATTGGGAATCTTAGAATAAAATGTAAAAACATAAAAAAGAAATATAAAGTTATATAAGAAATGAGAATAAAATAAATAGTAAAATTAAAAACATTAAGAATGGAGTAGTTAGATAGAAAATTGAGATATTGTAAAGTCTATCAAGATGTACAGACAATGTATAATATAATAGAGAGTTAACAACAGAGAAAAGGAATGAAAGGAAGGAGGGAAGAAATTGAGAAAGCTGAAATAAGAAAGAAATAAAAGAAGTACTACCTTTCTCCTTAAGTGTCAAGGGGAGAATAAAGTCGTTACAAAGAAGGTGGAGAGAGAAGGGATGTGGACTTCGTCCGATAACCGTTAGAGATGACGCCACCTCCACATCCCTTCTCTCTCCACCTTCTTTGTAACGACTTTATTCTCCCCTTGACACTTAAGGAGAAAGGTAGTACTTCTTTTATTTCTTTCTTATTTCAGCTTTCTCAATTTCTTCTCTCCTTCCTTTCATTCCTTTTCTCTGTTGTTAACTCTCTATTATATTATACATTGTCTGTACATCTTGATAGACTTTACAGTATCTCAATTTTCTATCTAAGTACTCCATTCTCAATGTTTTAAATTTTACTATTTATTTTATTCTCATTTCTTATATAACTTTATATTTCTTTTTTATGTTTTTACATTTTATTCTAAGATTCCCAATGTAACACTTTTGTCCCCCCCCTTTTTGATTATGCCTACTTCATCATTCCACACTATGTAACAGTCTGTATTATTTATCTCTTAGTTCTTAGTCATTATTCTAACAATTTCATTTTACTTTATATCTATCTATTTTATTTTTCTTTTATTTAGATCTATTTTATCTAGATCTAATCTATTTTATTTTCTCATTTTTTATTATCTTTTTTACCATCATTACTTATGTTTCTCATACCTTGTTATCTAGTTATTTTCTTAGCCCTGATGATGGCCTGAACTTCAGGTCGAAACGTTGGCATATGTAAAAAATAAATATTATAATTTATTTTTTGCCTTCCTTTTTTGACTGAGCACCCCAACTATTCTTCTCTTCATTATGCACGACAGTCAACCAATTACCAATTATGAAAACAATATAACACAAATCTTTTCTTCTTCAATTGCAAATAGTTTCGTCCTCATAAAATATGTCTTCATTGATTCCTTGAGTCTGTACTACACCAAGTGTTCCTGCAAAATCCCGTTCTTGTGATATTTGGAAATTAGCATTAGCCACAAGAGTACACATTTCACTAGTTGGTGCAAAGTTAATGCAGTCTCCATGGATTTTGATGCACTCTGATGTCTGAACCAAACTTCTCACAGTAGCTGTTTTCAATCTATTTCTTTGTTTCATTTTATTAAATTTATTTTGCTAAAAACACGTTCACATTCAGCATTTGAATGAGGCAATGACAATATGTTCATAACTAATTGAGGAAGCCTAGTAAATTCTTTTTTACTTTAGCTAAGGGCTGAAGTAAGGGTAGTCTCCTCCACTCGTCATCTAAAATCTGATTTTCATTATCATTGCAGAAGCGAGGCAAACTTTTTAATATATTAATAATAGATGGGGTGGTTTCTCATTGCTTCCGTGAAATACTCTTCTCTGGATTAAAAACAGAAATACTTTTAAGAAGTTTTTCATTAAAATTGTATCTTTTTTAAATCTCAAAACAGAGTTTTTAAAAATAAATGGCACCTGCCTCGAAAATCTTTTAACTTTTCAGTGCTCATTTCGTTATTAATACCTCCATTACTTTTACTCCCAAATAAATTTGATCCAAGGGTAAATACTTGTGTTCGTTTTCGATATTTATGTCTTTCACATTTTGACATGAAATGACATATATTCTGTCCATAAATGATAATAATAAATCAGTGTAGGTTTCTTTCAAAATCTGACTCCAACAAAATTTTGAAATTGGCTTATTCTCTTGGAGCTATCATTTATAAAAGTGTAAATATTTTGTGTAAGATCTTCTACATGTTGTGGAAGGCATTTGCAAGCTTCGCTTGCACAAATGTACAAGGAGTGACAAATGCAATTAATGGCGAAGATGCCAGGACAAGCTTCTTTTAATCTGCTTCAAACTGAGTTGTGTCGCCCTTCCATCACCCTGGCACCATCAGGACTGAACCCTATCATGTTTGTCATGGGAACATCATGTTTCTGAAAGCTGTCCACCAGTAAAGAATACAGTTGCTCTCCCGTTCTGTCCTCTTCTGATATTTTATAAAAAATGTTACACACTAGATCCCAAAAAAATGTTTTGATTTTGATTTCTTCTTCTTCAAAGAATTTTACCACTACACACACTGTTTTTTCTTTTGAAATGTCAGTACTTTCGTCCAGTAAAATGCTAAATTTATATTTTTTTAGTTTTCCAATTAAATTGTTTTTATAATCTTGTCCTATAACGTTTGTTATTATTGTATTGTACTTTGTACGCTTTAAGGTCCAACACTTTGCTATCTGAGAGTCAGGAAAACAATTTTTAATTACATCTGGTTAGTGGTCCATTAATTTAAAAGGTAAATTATGCTCCCCTACCATGGTTTAAAGAATTAATTCAGCATTTTGTACTTTTTCGTCTAGAAAAGGTTTTTGCTATTCGATGGACTGCACTCTGTACTAAAGTCGCATTTTTTATTTCAACAAATCCACACTATAACACAATAATTAAGCACAAACATATAAATGAATAATTGTTAAAAAATATCTACTGGAGCAGTGTTGCCATCCGTAGTGAGTCAAATTCCGGCTCTAAAATACACAAAAAGTTGAATTTGAATAATATTCAAACTCAAAATGCTGCAAATTTTTAATTTAGTGCCATTACCTTTAATTTTGTTAGCATGACTTAAAGTACTCCTCCTTAGTATCCATTAGTAGATCAAAGATTTAATTTGGAGTGGAAGGGAGGGAGGGCTCATTTTTTTCTTTTTTCTAAAAAAAAAAACAACTACTTTTACAAAAGGGTGTTAGTGGTTCTTGAAGGCCAAAAAAAGTAATTTTTGCAGCATTAATGCTTTTAGAGAGTCATTATTATATAAAAATTGAATAGATTGTGATTGTTTAAGTATTTAGCTTACAATTAGATCTCGGACAAAACAAGTGTAAACCACTAAAAAAATACTTTTTTTTTTCATTTTTTAAGATGGGCTCATTATGAATACTATTTAATTTTTCAATTAAATTATAATTACTAATTAATTACTTTACTCGATTAAAAATAAAAAATATATTTTTTTTAAATTATGGCAACAATTAAAAAAAAAAATTAATTTATCTAGAATATATTTACAATTGCAGTTTTATGAAGAATATAATGAATATACTTTCTCATATTTTATTTTATGTTCGATTAAAATGACGGAAAAAATTTCTTTTTAATTTCCTTTGACTATATAATTTAAAAAATATATATTTACAAAAAAAGTTGTATGAAGGAAATAATGGATATAGTTTCTTATATATTTTTTTTTCTCAATAAAAATCTAAAATATTTTTATTTATTAGATATTAGATATTTATTAGATAAAAAACATATATATATAAAACCATGGTTTTATGAAGCAAATAATAATTACATTCTAATTAAAGAAGATATAATTGCAATTTATTTGTGTATAAAGCAAAAGAAGTTTAGTATTTCTTATCAGTATAAATAATAATACAGTAAAAATAATTTTAAAACACTTCTAAACTTCATTCATAAAAATAAAACCTTGCATTGCATACGTCAGCAAAAGTTATGCACGAGGTACGAGGCTGGTTTATCTTCGTACCTCGTACATTACGTCATAACCTGGTACAAATACTAGGATCCTCGTACAAACAGCAACACTGATGCTAACTGGAAAAAAAAGAATTTGAAGTGTAGATTAAGATTAGGTTGAAGGTGGGAAAAGTGTTATTTTTCTGTGACAAAACTACCTAACCCAACACTTGAAAATTAGAATTTACCTAACCTTTATTCTACCTATGATTCTTTATGGATGGGAAATGTGGTCGCTTACATTAAGGGATGAGTGATGCCTTAAGGTTTTTGAAAATAAAGTATTGTGTAAATTATTACAGCTAAAGAAGGATGAGTTAATCGGAGAGTACAGCTGTGATTCCTTCCTCCCTCCCATTGCCAGGCCTAGATTAGATCAAAACTTTTTCAAATTAAATTAAGGATATTTTAATATTTAATAAACAAAGATTTATTATAAGTGGAAAAATCTAAACCTAGCTTTAGGTTATTTATTATTATTCTGCTTATTTTGCAAAGATTTATTATTAAATACCTAATTTTATTTTAGTAATACTTTTCAATGTAATTATTGAATTAGAGGGACCGAAAGGTAATGTCATTTCTGCCCATGTCTCTATCTGATTGTCATTTGTCAGATCAAAATTCATTGTTAGTACAAGGGAGCTGGGTGGTGGATATGGTTGAGTCTAATTTATGCAGGAATATAATGTATGTAAAGTAATTGTTTATAATTTAATTTTTTTTATTTTTGTTTTTTTTTAGAATTTTACCCCATATTAAAGGAAATGTAGGGTTTGTGTTCACCAGAGCAGAGCTTCCTGAAGTCCGTGAAAAGTTATTGCAGAATAAAGTTAGAGCACCTGCCAGAGCTGGAGCTATCGCTCCATGCCCTGTAGTTATTCCAGCACAAAATACTGGTCTTGGTCCTGAAAAAACTTCATTTTTTCAGGCTCTCTCCATTCCTACCAAAATTTCTAAAGGAACAATTGAAATTATTGTAAGTTCCATTTTTGATATTTGAATAAAAACTTTGTCAAAGCATGTTAATATGTGCTATTTATGCAATGCTTCTTTTATATTATGGTTTGATTTAAAGATACCTGATAATAGTTCTTAGACACTTTAAAATGTTTGATGGTGACATGGATAATAGCCTAGTCTAGGCTGTACTACTTCACATATTTGTTCTGTTCATCCTTACATATTATAGCTTCAGTTATTTAAAATACTTCTAAAATTTTATCAATAAGTGATTTTGAATTAACTTTTCCTTGAAACCAATTTATTTGATAGGGTGCTCTATATATAGCTATTTCAAAGTTAAGGATTGCGTACTTGTCTCATAGGTAGTTAAAAGCTTAAAAAGTGCTAAATCATGCATAAAAATGTGCAACTTATACATGCAAAAATCATTGTTTTTGTTTAATTTCTAAATAGAAATGATTAAAATATTATTGACGAAGATCGATTAGCTGGAGTTGGTTGGAGGTGCAGTTGTAAATGAAATTACATCCAAATAAGAAGTCTTATTTTATTGTGTGCCAATGTTTTGGCCTAAATTTTAGGTACAATAAAATTATAAATAAAAAAGCATGACTCATCCTGAGGGAATATAAACCTTACAATTATAGCCATAGATGGTCATGGGTTCAGTACTTTGTTAGTAAGTACTGTCAGTATCTACTATATAGAGGCTGTTTGTGCTCCAGGAATGTCTCCTGATTCTAGGATCAAACCATGGCTGGTGTGACAGAATACATATAATACATTATACAGAATATTTTACCTACCCCATTCAGACTATGGGATCCGGAGCATAGGAGTACAGTGCTTACTCACTGAGCTACCCTGCTCCCTGAAAGATTTATTTTACTGTGTGCCAATGTTTTAGGCTTTCATTAGGGCTAAGCAAATAAACATAATAGCCAATTAGAAAAATGGTTCAACAAGAAAATAAAAATATATATGCAGCGATTCCAAGTCAATTTCTACTTTTTCCGAGTCTTCCATTTCAAATTAAACTTTCCAATTTTTGTAAATTTTCATTTTTTCTTTTCATAATAAGGGCCACTTAATAATAGGGTGTATAAAATAAAATGACCATTTTGTCAAATTCAAGGTTTCAAAGGACTGTAAATATTTTAATCCTATTTAATACTTAATAATCCCTCTGGAGCATTCGCTAAACTTGTTTGATCCCATTCGACTTCTTCAAAAAAAGCCTCAGTTTGGTTATTTGTTCCAAAGAAGAAAGGTGACAGTGTCTTACGAAATTCTTGTAATTTTAAGGATATTCATGAGGTTCTGCAGGAAGCTGTTGAGTTAAATCCATCCACAAGTACTCGAGGGAGTGTGATATGTCGAAAGATAGTGTTAGTCGCCATCTACTCCATGGGGAAGGTGAAAAAGAGCAGTAGATTGGTCCCTCACAAACTTACTCCTCAGGAATCAGCTAAGAGGTTAGAAATTTGTGAAAATTAATTGAAAAACTCTTCTGATATGAGGTTTTTCTGTAAGATTGTCACCTGTGATGAAAAGTGGGTTTTCTGGCTAAATCCGATTACCCGTGAGCAATTTCTAGTCACGGTCAAACTGCTTTTCCGGTTGCTGCAAGGGGGCAACTTGAAAAAAAAAGTCCATGCTATGTGTTTTTTAGAATTTCTAAGGTGTTATTCATCAGGAATTTGTTTCTGATGGATCCTCCATGAATTCTGAACTCTACTGCGAACAACTGGAAAGATTGCATGCAAAGTTGTCAAAGTGTTATCCTGCTTTGTACATCCGAAAATGAATTTTATTTCTATAAGATAATGCTCATCCTCACACGTCCCGTCGAGCCAAAGAAATGTTTAAAGAACTTCATGGGTTTGAATTCCTACCTCATCCACCATATAGTCCAGACCTTGCACCATCGGATTACTTCTTATTTAGATCCATGGCCCATTTTCTTCAAGGAAAAAAATGTGATAATTTTGCGAAATTTGAAATTGCGATCCAAGAGTTCTTTGATAGCCAATCCAAAGAATGGTACCAGTGCGGGATCGAGCAATTGGCTAGGAGATGGCTAATGACGGTAGATAATGGACTATACTTTAAGCATTAATTGTATTTTATATCAAAGAAATAATAATACAGATATTTGGTTGAGAAATCGTCATTTTTATTTTATACACCCTATTATCTTATCGAAGGTGTATCTTTTGAAAAATACAAACAGAATTATGATAACTTGGTTGCATATTATATATATAATAGAGGAGGATGTTATGGAACTCTTTGGAAAAATCTAGAAGGATGAGGATAGTAAGGTTTTGGTGTTCAATAGAGTTTTGGAGGTCATAGGTTATTTTAAGGAGTGCGATGAGTAACCAGGTCGAAAGCCAGATTGGAATGGGTTGATAAGGGAACGTTCCTCTAGGAAGGTGGAGAGTTGATTTTGGACAAGGCGTTCTAATGGCTTTGAAAGGTTGGAAAGGAGAGAAATAGGTCGGAAGTCATGCAGTGAGGTATTGTTGGAAATTTTATTCAAAGGTCGAACTAGGGCAGTTTTCCAGGAGGATGGGAATATGGAGTTTTGCAATGAAAAGTTGAAGATATGATAAAGAACAGGAATAAGGACAGGACGGCTGGATTTTATTAGTTTCATTGGTATATTATCAGGACCATAATCATTAGTGTGGGATTTTAGGATAGCGGGAATAGTCTGTGGGCCAATCAAGCGTCGTTTCTATTTAAACAGCCAACAATAAAACATCTAGAGAATATATTTTTCCTTTTAAAACACTGATTACTTTTTAAAATAATTTAAGCAGTTCCGTAGAAAATGCACGTAAACGGCAGAAAAGCGGTACTGGCGTAGGTGTCTGCAGGCCTCTGCCACACCATTCAGTGGTCATAAATGGCTATAATAACATTGTTTTTACATTATATTGATTTATTAACGAACAAATATTAATGCATTAATTGAATTGTCTAAAAAAATTTTTATTCATTATTTTATTTTTTAAATTTAATTTCCTTTATTCTATACGGAGGTTGTTAAAGAAGGTCTCTATTGTAATAATGATATAATTATAATAATAAAACATAATTAAAAAATAATTTGCTGAATATCTTTTTTTTTAAATTGAGAAAAAATACATTTTGCCTCAATCAAGGGCATTGAGTATTTGAGATATAAGAAACTCATTCATACAATATATACAATTACAAAAATAATAGAACTTATAACAAAAATAAGAAAAAGAAACCTTAGTAAAACTAAAAAAATATATCATAAAAAAATAGGAAATTTTAATATTGAATGCATTATTATCTCTGCACAAAGAAAGATGGAAAGAGCGAAGCTATAAGTTCTTCTAGGTAACCGGAACTGATTGTTAGTATTTGGTCTCAAAATGAGGAAAAACACGAAATTAAACCCAAAAATTGGAGAAAAATACATTAAGTAAATGAAAAACGAAGTGCCAAAATCTCGGAAAAGAAAACTAGGATCAGTATCCATTATATGGCTAAAAGAATATATAGTAGATAGATAAACAGAATATTTCAAGATGTTGCTAAAAGGGAGTAAAATACTGGAGCAGCTTTGATGATATTAAGGGGGCGAAGCAGGTTTATTATGGTGAAGACCATTTTATCAACAAGAAAGATTTGTTGGAAGCAATTGGCAAGTTAGCTGATCTGGACGAACTAAACCGAAGCTTAGTGCTTCGCACTGTTTTGCGCGTATATAGGCAATAAATGTATTAGAAAATGATATGAAAGGACTGTAGTTTTGTCGCTTCACAAGATAGGACTTGCTAGGAAATGTAATACCCATCGAGATTCATTCTTGTTTAGTATGCCAAAGAAACTCTACTCAAGAATCGTAGAAGCTAGAATAAGAAATATTGTCGATTGCCAGAGCGATATGGATTGGGGAACTCAAGTTGCACATTGGAAAAGAAGTTGCAGATTAGGTCTTCACTTTAAGGTAGGTTGCAGTGAAATCCATCAAGAAAGAAAAATAGCTCTCTGTCCTCTTAATGCCTCACACTTTGGATTGTTCTAATATCTATTTGTCTTTCAGAAAAGCTCGTTTTCCTTACAGATTCCTTTAAAAAATCTTTTGCTAATACAGTAAATAGAAGGAGAAATATTTCACTTTCTCGATAGACCTCTCTATAACCTGCTTCATAGTGAAGATAGTCCCAATGTGCAACTTCAATATTAATTGAAAATAAATTTGTTTGCATCATAATAAACCTCGTTTAATTAGTCCAGACCTGCTGACTTGCCAATTGTTTCGAACAAATCTTTCTTGCGGATAAAATGGTATTCACCATAATAAACCTACATTGTCCCCTTAATATCATCCAAACTGCTCCAGCATTTGAACCCCTTAGCAGCATCTTGATATATTCTGTTCATCTGTCTACTATATATTCTTTTAGCCATATAATAGATACTTGTTTTCTTTTCCGAGATTTTGGCACTTCTTTTTTTGTTCGCTTTATGTATTTTTCCAATTTTGGGGTTTAATTTTGCGTTTTTCCTCATTTTGAGAACAAATACTAACAATCAGTTCCGGTTACCTAGAAGAACTTATAGCTTCGCCCTTTCTATCTTTCTTTGTGCAGAGAGAATAATGCATTCAATATTAAAATTTCCTATTTTTTTATTATATATTTTTTTAGTCCAACTTCTGAACTAAATAAAGGAAGTAAAAGTTAATTTTTTTATTAGTGATATATGAGTTTTACTAAACAACCCATCAACTATTCATTATATGTAGTTCAGATTAGGTATATATTATTTTAGTTTATAAAACAGGTATTAATATGACTCATTTCCAGGAAATTATATACAATTTAAATTACCTTTAAGAATCATTAAATATACAAAACAAAGTGTTAAATTGCAAATGTTAAATAAAAAAATTAAGATATTCAGCCTTACCTGTTAACAATACCTCATCCTATAGACCAATAAGCCTGCTCCCGATCCTCTCAAAAATCTTTGAAAAAATCCTTCTCAAACGTATCCTACCCATTCCTGAAATCTACAATATCCCTTCCCATCAGGCCTTCGCGTTATTAACCATATATCCTCTGAGCTTGAAAACAAGCAATATTGCGCTAGTGCCTTTCTGGACGTAGCGCAAGCTTTTGACCGGGGATGGCTTGCTTTTCAAGCTCAAAACCCACTTACCCCCCAATCCTTGTACCTAGTCCTCAAATCGTTACTTTCAAGTCCGCTGCGGCACTGAATTCTCCAATTATTATCCAGTTGAGGCTGGTGTTCCACAAGGAAGTGTCTTAAGCCCAATTCTCTACATTCTTTTCACAGCTGACATACCAACCCATCCTGACTCCCTTCTAGCAACATTTGCTGACGATACCGCCATCCTATCATCCCACACAGACCCTGAAACAGCATCCCTAAACCTACAAAGACACATTTCCGTAATAGAGCAGTGGTGCAACAATTGGTGCATCAAAATCAATGAATCCAAATGCTAGCAGGTCACCTTTACCCTCCGACGCAGATCCTGTCTACCTATCCTTTTCAACTCAGTACCTCTTCCCATCTCAGACATAGTTCGGTATCTTGAATTCCTTTTAGACAAAAGACTAACATGGAACCCACATACTAGACTTAAAAGACAAGAACTTAACCGACGATTTGGCCAGTTATACAGACTACTTAACAGAAAATCTAACCTCTCAATTGAAAACAAACTATTAATATACAAGACCATACTGAAACCCATCTGGACCTATGGACTTGAACTGTGAGGAACAACTAAATTGTCAAACATCAAATGCATCCAATCCTTCCAGTCCAAAGTCCTTCGTACAATAGTAAATGCTCCTTATTATGTTACAAACAAAATTCTACATCATGATCTTAACATCCCTTATGTCCTTGACGTTATTCCATCCCGTTTCTCAAATTTTCATCAAAACCTAATCCATCATCCTAATCCCTTAGCACAATCCTTATCCAGATCCAGCCATCCCTACAATCCTCCTCGAAGGTTAAAAAGGCAGTGGCCTCGAGATCTTTTGTAAATACGTCATTGGAGTCCTGGCAATGGCCAGCTTCTCCACTCAAGTCATGAGTGTATGTGGCTTTAGCGCCCTTTCTCAGGCCCCACTGGATCTCCATCTCAGTGATGCGGCTGAGAGAGAAGCGCTGGGATCTCTTAGAGTCTTGCCTTATCTTCCACACATGGGAGAAGGGACCGACTTGGAGCTCCCTCGGCTGACTGCAAATATTGTAAATAAGCATGAATGTTTTATTCATTTATTTTTGTTTTGTTTTTATTTGTGTTATATCATATTTTAGTTTAGTTTTACTAAGGTTTCTTTTTCTTATTTTTGCATAAGTTCTATTATTTTTGTAATTGTATATAATGTATGAATGAGTTTCTTATATCTCAAATACTCCTTAATGCCCTTGATTGAGGCAAAATGTATTTTTTCTCAATTTAAAAAAAAAAGATATTCAGCAAATTATTTTTGAATTATGTTTTATTATTATAATTATATCATTATTACAATAGAGACCTTCTTTAACAACCTCCGTATAGAATAAAGGAAATTAAATTTTAAAATAATGAATACAAATTTTTTTTAAAATTTTTTAGACAATTAAATTAATGCATTAATAGTTGTTCGTTAATACAATCAATACAATGTAAAAACAACTATATTATAGCCATTTATGACCACTGAATGGTGTGGCAAAGGCCTGTAGGCACCCACACCAATACCGCTTTTCTGCCGTTTACGTGCATTTTCTACGGAACTGCTTAAATTATTTTAAAAAGTAATCAGTGTTTTAGAAAGAAAAATATGTTCTCCAGATGTTTTATTTTAGCATTGTTGGCTGTTTAATTACAAACAACGCTTGATTTTCAACTTGAAAATTTATTTGTTAAAAGAACTGACTTTACTGGTGTTTTTATTGCCTAAGCCAATTATTTTTTAATATTTTTTCATGTTTTATTATTCTCTGACTATCCAGTTTTAATAAAATACCAACTATGACAAAATTAAGCCAAATGCTGATTCTCAGTGACCAAAAAACTAACTAAAGTCAAAGTCGTCAGTCAGCCATGTTTGGACGCCATTTTGGGACAGTTCGTTCACTTTTTTTGTGGGAACATTGGCTTTTTTAAAAATAAATAGTTACAAGGAAGACAACGATATGCAATTTATAGGGATGTGGGGGAGGGGAGAGGGTGTGCACGGTAGGGGGTTCAGGCCAATCGTGTAAAAGTAATTCATCTTAGGACACAAGGGAGAAAAAGAAGTCTTCTGGATTGAAATTATGATGTTTGATTTCGAAAGTAAGAGAAGAATTGTGAGTGAAGGATAAGAAATGGTCATCTAGATCATCTGGAGTCACCGGGAGGGAACTGAGTTTATTGGATTTTGGTAGGGATAGGTTATGGAGTATTTTCCATTTGGATTTGGAAGCTTATACTACAATTGTTACCATCTATTTACTTCACTTTAAGATTTTGTTACATAGCTCACTCTGTTTATAATTTCAATAAGTTTATTCACCTTATTTATAATTTTTATCTAAATATTATGTAACTTCCACAATTTTCTATATCCTTGTGTATCTTGTTCGTTCTAGTTCTGAAGAAGAACTGCAAAGTCGGATTGAAATGTTGGCTTTTAATAAAATAGTTTTGCCACTATTTCAGTCTATTTATGACCACCCCGGACCATCTCCTTCCTCCACATATTTTTACTTTCACTTATTTATTTTTCCTTCTCAGATTCTTATATGAATCATTAGTAAAATACTTTAATTGAATATAAATTGGATTTTTATCTTAATTAAAAAAAAAAAAGTAGAAGTTATAATATTTTAAAAGTTTTTTATTTAGGATAAATAATTATAAGCTTCTTCATATTTTTTTAAAATATTTAAATTTTATTTCATTTTCAGAATGATGTACATATTTTAAAAGAAGGTGATAAAGTTGGTGCTTCAGAAGCAACTTTGTTGAATATGTTGAACATTTCTCCATTTTCTTATGGTCTTGTTGTGGAAATGGTTTATGACTCAGGCACTATATTTGAGCCTAAGATCTTGGATATAAAACCTGAAGATTTACGTGTCAAATTTCTCGAGGTAAAATTTAATTAGTTACAAGAGTGTATGATTGATGTTCTTTTATGCATATGGATGTTAGTAATACTTTACTAAATTGTAAATGAATATTGATAACTTCTAAATGTACTGTTTTAATTTCATATATATATATATATATATATATATATATATATATATATATATATATATATATATTACTAAATTTCTTCAATTGACCTATGGGAATTAGGTCACTTAATTATAATTCAATAAACTACAAAATGTTTGTTGATCCTGTTGTCTATTCTACGTTTCGATCCCGGTTTTTTTTAATGATGACAATGGGACCCCCTTCAATGTTTTAAAATAGAGCCTTGATACCTCAGGCCAGGGACGTACTGACAGCCTTAGCACTGTCCACTAGCACAGATATTAAGCTACCTTAAGAGTTTTAAACATTATAAATAAACTGAATTTAACATTTTAGAACGGAACGAGGCCCTTAGTTTATTTTGTTTTGCTGTAATGTAATCTAAGATCATAACTTGAACGTCTTTAGAATTCTATGACTAAGTGTTTAGCAGAAGAGTCATAAATAGTACAGAAAGGATTTCCTGGAATTAGGGAGAAAAGGTTGCCACAGAAGTGGGTGGATTGGCAGAATCTGGTTGTTCACTTCAAAAATGAATTGTATTGACTTTGTCTTATTAGTCTATTTACTTATTTATTAGTCTTCTTAGATTAAAATATTATCTAGTTAAATTATGAATTTAATGTAGCAATTAAGAAATGTTAAAAACATTAATTAAAAATGACAATAATTAGATCACTAAGAACAACCTTAGTTACAAAAACCAAGTAATTTTAGATTGCTAAATAAAAAATATGATTCTGTTATGATATGACAAATAAAATTTATCGTGGAAGATTTCTTATCATTGGAATCTCACAAATTATTAGGAATTAGAAATCTTCATATTTCTCATTTTATTCTATCTTAATTTTTGTTATCTGAAAAAAAAATGATTTATTTTTATTAATAAGTTTAAAATGTAGGTGTTTTGTAATAAATTAACTCCAACTTTTTCTTTTTTCCAATTCATTGTAAGGGCGGAATGAAGTAGGAATGGAACAAGCAGTCTTCCTCCATGTAATAGAAGAAATGAGAATGGAATGGTCTTGAATTGGTTCCTTTGAATTGGTTACCTTCAGAATGGAACAGAACGAGTCTCCTTGTATTTATTGTAGAATTATATGTAAAAAATCAAGTAAAAACAAAGGAATTTATAATATAAAATCCAGAACAAATTTAAAACTAAACCATTTAAACCAAAATATAAATAAATACATATAATTAAATATTAGATTTTAAAAACAAAAGGTTTACTTTATCATAAAATACACTTAACTCATGAGGACCATGTTTCAATCTGTAAAGTTATTTCATGTGACCATGGATGTGAAGTATATACACTGACAGGCAAAAAATTCCACCCACTTGATTTTTCCATGTTTTCATCTAAAAATATTTCTGTGAAGTTGTATTTGTATATAATACATGGCATTTGTAGATAATACTTAGTATTTATGGAATTTTATAATCTTTTTTACCTTTAATAATCAAAATGTGATTGGGTAAGAAAGATTAGAGAAAAAAAATTGAAAAACGAACCATTATTATTTTAAAAGAAATTAATTACATCATCGTTTAGTAGCGCGTGTTTCCTCCTCTTGCCTTCACTACTTCTTGAAGACGCCTCGGCATATTTTCCACCAGTTGGGAAATGTCCCTTTGCTGGAGGATAGCCCATTCCTCCCGAAGAGCCCTTTCAAGGTCCTGCAGTGTATCAGGAAGTGTTGCACGCGCTCTTATTCGTCTTCCGAGGTTATCCCATAAATGCTCAATGGAGTTCAAATCTAGAGAACGTGCTGGCCAGGCTAAAACCTCAATATTGTTCTGTTGAAGGAACGTCTGCACTATGCGGGCAACATGTGGGCGTGCATTAAAATAGAACGATCGCCGATTTTGTTGAGGATAGGCAACACATGAGGTTCCAAAATCTCATCTACAAAGCGAATGGCCATCAAAGACCCTCCACGAACAACAACCAATTCTTTGTGGCGTTCCATTGAAATCCCAGCCCACCCATTAAGGAACCACGTTGGAAAGGTTGGCTCTGGGAAAAATTACAGGCTGCATATCTTTCGTTTCTTCTTCTCCACACCCTTTCACGGCCATCTGGAGATCGAAGAGCGAATCTTGACTCATCTTTAAAAAGTACAGCACTCCATTCGTCCATAGTCCAATGGCTGTGTTCTCGAGCAAAAGCCATCCGTGTTACTCTGTGAGTTCTTGTTCTCTTACTGGACGAAAAGCCATTAATCCATACTCATTTAATTTTCTCTGAGCGTTACGTTCAGAAATTTGCACACCTCGAACTTCTTCTAGCTGATGAATCGCTTAAACAACGGTAAGGTCCCGATTTCGTAAAATTCTCAAAGTCAAAAACCGGTCATCCCATGGTTCTGTTACCCTAGGCCATCCAGAACTGGGCCTTCTATTGTAAGAACCAGTTTCCCGAAAACGCCTGACGGTGTCTCGTAAAGTTTCAGATGGAACTCTGATGGCATTAGCTGTATATCTAATGGAACGTCCTGGAACATTTTGATTCCATAGAAAGTAAACATTGGAATCTAGAATCATTTCATTGAATTAAGGATTAATGGTTATTGTCTTATATATTAACATTCCTTATTGAAAACAAACAAAAAGATTACCTATTTATTCATTAAAAACAATAGACCAATCCAAAGCAGAAATATTTTTAGATGAAAACATGAAAAAATCAAGTGGGTGGAATTTTTTGCCTGTCAGTGTATATTCCCCTTCGTGAAAATTAAAGCTTGGGTTAAAGGAGCTGGTTAAGACAGTGTTAGAGGCTGAAGGAGCTGTGAACTGACTCCTCAGGAGAGTTGGCAACAGGGGATCCATAATGTTGCCAAAACTTATACCCAATCTTATCCCTATTAGCTTTCTCAGTGCACTATGTTGCATATAATTCTCATTTGTGCTGGTGATAACTTGATTTTTTTATTTGATTAAGGATTTTTACTATTGTTTTCATTTATATGAATTTTTCAAATTTTCTTTTCTTTTATTTGACATTATAAATCATGCACAAAACAGAAAAGACACACACTATTCACAAGGAGTATTTTCAATTTTTAAATCTGTAAATACTGAAAACAAATAATAAAATCGTGAATAAGCTGCTTCGACTGTTTTGCGTGATTTTTTTTTTATATTTCTAGAACATTTCATAAAAAAAGATAATATTTAATTACTACAGATCACTAATTTTATTGATATAATCAAATTTAAGCGGTCACAAGAATAGAAGAAAAGTGCGCATAGTGACAACTTGGCTTTCTGAGTATTACTGTCTCGAGCTTTTATTTTCATGAAGAGGAATAACTGATATGAGGAAGTATGGTGATCATTAAAAATTTTGGATCCACATTTTTAAGTGAAATAAATTCCCGAGTCCAAAAACCACCAAGTTTCACAAAATGGTTATTATGTGTCACACATGCGTGTTTATGGGAACAGTCTGATTCAAAAATAAAAAATCGTATGCAACTCAAATTACATATTGAAATTATGTATTTGAGAAGTTAGTCAATTTTTAGCCTAACTGAACACGCTACTTTATTGTTTTAAATGAATATGTTGTACCATCTATAATTTAAATTAAATTAAGTTCTACTCCAAGAAGGGTAGTTAACAAAACAAAACTTTTCAGTGATACGAAATAAGTTATTACAAGTTAAACTAACTAGTACAGCCTCCTGTAATGTAAAGTAAACTCTTATTGCAATCCATACTCATGTTACACTTATTATTCTATTTTATGCAAAGCATATGTGAGAACTGATAAATGCAAACCAACCATAAACAGAGCAATCTCAATAATCTACATTCAATGATTCACCTTTGCTATTTACAATGCCTTTGATAAATCCTGTTTTATTCTATTTTTCTCTGAAAATAATAAACTCTTGTACTTGATTGAAGGTTGTCTGAATGGGATGGGTACATTTTCATCCTTTTCAGAATCCTTAAAACACGATTAAGGTAGTTCCGTAAATTTCTGATATATATATATATATAATTTTTTTTTTTTTTTTTTCGTTTGGCGCTACAGACCTTGTAGATCTTTGACCGTGGGATGTGGTCAAAAACCACATCCCGATTCCTGATTTAAGTACACGAGGGTAGGGTCATCAGTCCTACGCCCGGTCGATGTGAGTTTCCACCAGTAGGCTGACGAGCCTCACAAACTGGGGAGGGAGAGGTCTCGGGCAGCGTGGCTTTTCCTGGTGGACATTCACCCAAATCGGGCAGTCACCCATCCAAGTGCTAACCACACTCGGCGTTGCTTAACTTGGTTACCTGTTGCAAGTGCCTTAGTCCACACAGCTAACCCAGCCTCCATATATATATATATATATATATATATATATATATATATATATATATATATATATTAGTTTTTTAAGGAAGTCCCTTTATATCAAATCATCTTTTGAATTTAAATTGAACTGAAGTTTAATAGGTGATTTTTGAATGTGTCATTTTCAATGGACCATCCAGCTTAATTTATAGGTTTAAAAATTTGTAAATTGTGTTGCTATGAGAAATGTTTCTTCTATGCTCTCAAATTTCCCCCTCAATTATGACAAATTAAATTTGAAAATAAATTATAATAATTTCAAAAGCAATTGTTTAAAATAAGAATAGTCCATATTTTTATTTGTATTTGTGATGGTTTTTATCCATCTCTGCCTGTCCTATCTGAAACATTTGTCCTATTTTGTTTAGTATTTTTTTTTTTACTAATCTAAACTATATTGATTTTCATAATGATGTAGAGATGGTTGACCGTTGATATAATATGAGAAGGAGTTAGTCAAGGGTGCGGTCAAATAAATAAAAAATTTAAATAATTAATATATTTTAATTTTTTATTTATTTGACC